CCGCCTCCTCCCGCCCCTCTCCCGGGCCGACAGCGCCACCTAACGCCCAAACCCTCGCCCAGCTCTGCCGAGGCGAGGGAAGCGCCATGCTGGGAGCGCCTCGTCCCCACCGTCTGCTGCCCACCGCCCTGCCGGGAGCCACCCCTTTGGCCACCCCAGAGCTCCCACCATTACTAAGGGCAGGTAAGCGGAGCAGTGATCACTCCTTTTAGGGGTGCTCCACGCACAGACTGGTAGTAACAACCTTTCCTCGTCTTACAGAAGCTGAGAACTGACGTTTGTGAGGCGTTAAACGAGGTGAACTCCTGGACGCTGCAGAGATGGGCTAGGCCTGGAAGCCGACAGCAATGGTATTTTGCGTGGAGGGAGTTGGGGATAACCTCAGTGGAAACAAAGGGAGAAAACTTCTAAAGAGGGAGCATATTACCAAAGTGTCATTATCCTGCAGAAAGATCCAGCTTGGCCCCGAGCTGTGTCTTGCTTTGCTTTCATACAAAGCGTACAGAAGGAATATAAAGCTGCTGTATCTGCCCTAAGCAGGTCAGGCACAGTTCAGCTAGAGCCAATAATAAAATTAAGAACAGTGACCTGAGGAGACACCACACCTTTGCTTTTAACTCTTTAAAGAAAGAGATGGCATACTTACAAGTCTGTGGTCAGAACAGAGGCTGATGTGGCCGCCTGAAAAGTGTTAAACGAGCGCATTTCTTGTTTTGTAACACCACGCTCAACCCAGCAGCCTTCTCTCTGGAATTATGCTCCAACAGCTATTCGTAGCTACTGATTTTTGCAATATTTCACGTATGACTCAATACTGGACTTAGTATCTATCAATAATGAACTCCAAACTAAATAAAACTGCCTATCATATAACTGACTCTTTACAGATAACAATACATGTCAAAATAGGCACTCTTGTAATTAGCATGAAGTTACTCAATCTGTATAATTACACATGGTAATCATGCTGTAGCATGTTTGGAAATGCTAGATCTCATTTTCCCCAGTAATCCTAAGTCATATGAATATCTTCTGTAGGAACTACTACTTTAGATGCTATGAATTAATATTAAGATGAAATTGAATTAAATGTACTGATTTTAATGTCATGAATGCACTTATAACTATTTTTTCCCCTGAGAACCATCTGCAATTTAGAGACTTGCTAATCCTAATTAAATGCACTTTTCTCAAGTGTGTGCAAATGAACAGAGAAATCTGCTCAGTAACGCACTTGCATATTTTCCTCTTTCACAAAGGAGAAGAAACTGTTTTGTGATTTAATATTAGATCTTCCTTGTAAGAGAAAATCAGTGTTGCTTCTTCATAATTTCAAGACAGACAGTAGCCTGACTATATATCTTAACTGCTAATTCATTAAAAGCATAGGAGGAAGACCCCTCAAACAAGCATTTATAATGCTGATCTGAACAGCTGCAGT